TGGGATACCCCACTACAGCCTACACAGCAGTATAAGCTATAGATATGTTCTGACACAACTGTCCCCGAAAACGACTTCTCTAGTAGGAGAAACCGCTCTCGAAACTGCCGGCCAGCTTGCAACAACTCCAGGTACGCAGCGTCGCACGAGTCGTTTTCCGAGGTTACCGGCCCCGGTTTCCCTCGTCGCCTGCGCCCCACTTCTGCTAAGTGCGATATGGCCACTCCGCTTTTCGTTGCAGCCCGTAAGTGTCGGCGGGTCCGAAAATCCCGTCTGTCCATGAGCACTCCTGCCGAAATCTTCGATGACGCGCCCGCCATGCAGTAAAAGCCGCTGCACTTCAGGTCGGGCGGGACGGCAGTTAACTCCCACTAAGTCGGGCAGTTTAGTGTCGTCTCTCCTCGTCCACCGATATTTTCGGACGCAAACTCCATTTGCGCCTGGCGAGTTCCCCAGCCGACTTTTTCTTCAACAGAAGCTCCGAAAATGTCGCCCCCTTTGTCGCCAGCTGCCGAAGGTCTTTCCGAAATCTTCGCGTAACGGTTGACTCAGGTCCGCCGGCGTCAACAGCCACACACAGTGACGACGTCGAGGCTGTTCATGCAGATGCCGACGCAGGTCCGCTGACGCCAGCTGCCACACGAATAAACCTCCGAAATCGTCGGAAATCGCAGCGGAAATGACTCACTTTAATGTCGCGACAGCTTCAGCTGTCCGTCGCCCGGGGGGAGGGAGGCCACGGTCGATCGCGACCGTTCGAGGCAAGGATCTGGCGGTGCCGAAGGAGTACCCGTAAAAACATAGCCGCGAGGAGCAACTAACTAGTTCTCCTTGCCGGCCTACGCGACTCCTGGACCCCAAGACATCCTTCCTCGTCCCCCCCCCCCCCCCGAGGGGTATTACACTCCTAAAAGCGGGGTGAGCTAGGAAAGTAGCTCTGATACCAGGTGTTATGAATGAACTTGCAGAGTGCGCAGTAAAACGAATAACGAGAATGATTGCGTACTGAATTACTGAATGACGATACAATGAGAATGCCGAGGCCTAAATAGGGGAAAAGCTGGCTAGGCGGGGAGGTTGGGTGAGGATGGCTTGGTGATGGTTGCGATTGGAGCGGAGGCCGACTCGGGAGTGGTTCGGTGCGACGAAATAGGAAGGTCAGGTTCGTCGCGTGACCCTCGGGATGGCCTCGCTAACGAGTGCCTCAGTAAGGATTTGTAAATCCTTACACTAAGGGGATGTAGAGAGAGATCGATATGTTAGGGAGGGCTGGCCTGGGGGGAGGGAGGAGGTGGGTTGTGGGCTGGTCTGTTGCTGAAACGCACGCGCGGATCTGGTTGGCGGGAAAGTGGGGGAGTGAAACGGAGAAGGGATTTTCGGGGGGGCGGGGGGGGGGGGGGGGGGGGGAGGGGGGGTACATGGAAAAATTTCCGGGTCGCTCCCAAATCTACTCGGAGCCTCCGGGAACAGCCAAGCAACACTCGTACCCCCCAGGCCCAGGCTCGGAATCACTCGGATTTCGTCAGGGTCGCTCTGCGAATCGCCCTGCAAAAATCCGAGCCATGTTAAAAAAACCTTGTAATTTCAGTCAAGAACGAGCATTTGCCCTGATAGCCTTAGCCCTGGGCACGACCACGATTGTGCTGTACAGCAGATGTGAAATCAATGTCTGATGTGGGCGTTCTATCCACAGGTACAGGTGCACTGCCAGTCCAAATGGTGACGTTTTGTTCCTCACTGTGGCTATCAAGCAGGCAAGGTCCTTCGCCAACTGGTGACGTTGGTTGCGGCAATTTCGTGCCTTGCCTTCCCGAAACTGTAAGGATGCGACACCATCATGAGCAAAGGGGAAGACTGCCTCGGTGTTCCTTGTTCTCATTCTCAACTCACTGTCCACTCCTTTGGGTGCTGTTCGGGAGCCCCAGAAATGAGGTGGAATCATCACCAAACGGAGAGAAAGTAGGTTCGGAAGCCCAAAAATCGCGTGCGACCCCCATGCGACTGCCATCGTCACCAAACCTCACGGTTTGGAAACATCAAACCAGCAAGTCCTCATCAGCGGCTCGAGATATCGATTTGCCGCCCCTACCGCCGATTGGCTGCACAGTAATCACGGGCAAAATTAGACTGACTTTCTGCTCGCCAATCTTTGGCGAGCGCCAGATGAGTTTGACTTGAGGAGTAAAATTTATGCGGCAGAAGAGTAACATTTGCGATTTACAAGGGCGGACCTGTACGCCTGTGTGAACGATGTTGCCCTACAAAACACATCAATTTGTTTTTCACTTACATGTTGTCTGCTGGGGCCACTACATATCGGAAATTTGTTAGGGAGGGGAGAGAATTGGAGGTGTGGGATGCTCGAGAAGTGGTGGTGGTGATAGGGCAGCGTGATCTTTGTGCGGAGATTTTGCTCGTCCTTTAGGATGTGGGCCCGATCGGGTCTGATCGGCTGTGATCTGATCGGCTCGGATTTCTTGTGAATACTTTTCTCGAGCCGCCCGATCAGCAATGTTTTCCGTCGAAGTTTTGAAGCTGTTTCTCGGCAAGAGCACGAACATCTCGCGGAAATTCTTATCCAACTCATGCGAGATTGGCGACTGAGCGTGACCTAGCGAATAAATTTGTTTCCCTATAACATCGTCAACCCCTGGAGAGTTCTCGCCGTATGCCGTTCATGAGCGAAGAGCTCACGACGCTTAAATAACAGTGTAACATCTCGCAACCATCGTTATGGCCCTTGATCACATGCAATCAACTGATCGAGGTTGATAGAGCAAAATCGAGTCTGATCGGGGTGAAAATCGGATAGATTGAATTGGGGCGATCAGCTGATCGCGATAAGCTGATTGCCCCCGATTGCCTGAAATTGGATTTCGGGCTTCCTCGAAGTTGTTGATTGCTTCTGATAGAGGCGATCAAACTCGATTGGGCCCACGACATTTTGCTCAACGTGCAGCGCTGACTAAGCACTCCCGTGTTCGTTTGTCCAACTGTCAACACTGTTTAAACAGCTGTCATTTTTGTTTCTCGGTCAACACTTCACAGTTGTCCACGAGGGTCTTTGTCCGTATCTTGATTAGGCTCGGTGCCATACCTATCACCAACTTTGCGCTCATTCTCATTTCTAGGGCTCCCGAACAGCACTTTGAGCAGAAGCCGCCTGCCACCATCACAGATGGAACACCTGGTGATGCTGTTGCGCATGATTTCTACTCACGTGATTCATCCACAAGAGGACCTGCAAGCAGTTTCGTCGTTTGCATGTCCAGCCTGACCACATGAAATGATAGCTTTGTCACGTGAGAAGTTTGAAGTCAAATCTGTACAGTGCTCGCCAAATGCTTTCTTCGGAGGGCCATAATTTCATTGTTGCTGTATCCCGAATACCCTTCCAAATCCGGGTCTTTGTTTGGCCAGCCCGCTGAATTTGGCGCCCGTCCGAACCTGGCGGGTTTCAGCTCAACAAAATTCGAGCTGCAAACTCATTCACTAACCTCACAGAAGGGCACTACGAAATTCCAGTTTCATTTCGCAAGCCCTCTGTCCCCGTGGACTAATTTCCGAAACACGGATTTCCCATGTTCCCGTCTCTAAGTTTGCAGGAGTAGGGAGGGACACAAAAAACACTCACATGACAGGCAAAGAGGCGCGAGTGGAAATGGGTGGGAATGTGCGGTTCTGGCGCTTGGTGGTGTATGTGTCAGTGGGAATGGAATGGAAAAATCATAGGGACTCAACCCTGCAAGGCAGGGTGTTTCAAACAAATGCCTGCGCCGGATCTTCCTCCAGCCTCACCGCCCCAGATTCATTGTTGGTGTTCGTAGAGACACAAAACCGAAGCAAAATGACGATCTGTGCTAGATCACGTTCCGTGACGCGACGCGGTTTGCGAGCAGGTCTCTTTTCAGGTGGATCATCATGGTCATACGGAACCGCCATTTTTAGCAATCTGGTTGGATCTGCTGCTCTGCTGTCATTCGATATCGCGCGTCAGTTTCAGCTGTCACATGGGCAGACGTGTGCTGCTGATGATGGAAAGCTGCTGATTTCCAGCTACAGTAATGCACTGTGCAGCCTCCTTGCGTGCTGGATGTTGATGCCAAATGTCCAAATAGAAGAACCACGTGCAGGATTCGCTTGTTTGAAACAGAACGGTACGGTTGTTTTCATAGTGGTTTTTTGTAATAATAGAGTTTGAAGTGCGTTTGAAAAAATTGCATATGTCCGATTACGCGGCTAAGTTTGGAACGATGCGAGAGAATCGAGGATTCACGAACGATGATTCTCCCGCTTCTGCCAGAAGTTTTCAACCACTGCATCCAATCTGGTCCCAAGCAGTTTCCATCGCTGCCTCGTCGTGCCCCTTCTGAACAAGGACTCGCCGTTCCTTGCCTCTCCAAGAAGCTCACAACCGGACTGTAACCAGCTGGCGGTGACCCCAACCAACCAACAAGCCCATTTCACCCACTTACCGAAACCGCCCCCACCGTCGACTACATAACCCACTCCCACTCTCGTCTGTCACTCAACTCAACAGTTTCTGACATTCACACATTTGCTTCTCGTCGTTCTCAACGAGACCAGCTCCTCTCGCTTCACTCGCTCTGGTCGCATTTTCGGAGTTACTTTCAAAAGCAGTCCCCATGGAAGCCTCTGCCAGTGCCGTTCCTGCCCAGCGCTCACAAACCCTCCGCGCCCACAGCAAGCGGAAAGCCGAGTCCACCGACGCGTCTGCGACTGAGGGTCCTTCCGCGAAGCACTCCTGCCCCAGCCGCCTCTCAACGTCCTCCGCGAATTTCTCCGTCTTCGACATTCCCACAGGCCACCTTCTTGATCATTTCACGCTCGAACCCACCGTCCTGGGCGCCGGCCAATACGGTACCGTCCGTCAGTGCGCCGACAGATTAACCGGCCAGCGGTTTGCGTGCAAGACGATCCAAAAGAGCCGGTTGGTAACGGATGCGGCTCGCACTGAAGTCCGACGCGAGGTCGCTCTCATGTCCCGCGTCGCAGGCCACCCAGGCGTGGTGGGCCTACGAGCTGTTTTCGAAGACGACAAGGAGGTGCACCTGGTCATGGATCTGTGCGAAGGCGGCGAGTTATTCGACGAGGTTGTGCGGCTCGGGAGGCTGTCAGAGCGCGACGCGGCGCTGATTTTCCGACAACTGGCCTCCGGTGTCGCCTTCTGCCACTCGCGCGGCGTGCTCCATCGCGACCTTAAACCCGAGAACATCCTCCTCCACAGATCAGCCCCATCCGGCGCCGTCCCCGCATCTCCTGCCGCAGATTCCGCTCTCGCCGCGCCCCAGTCCCTAGAATCCCGCGGTCTGACCGCGAAGCTCGCAGACTTCGGCCTTTCGATCGCTCTGGATAACGGACGTATGGGTTACGGTACAGCGGGCTCGCCCTTTTACATGGCACCCGAGGTACTCACTGGCGAGTACGAATACGCAGCCGATGTGTGGTCTCTGGGCGTGATTCTCTACATCATGCTCTGCGGCCGGCCGCCGTTCTGGGGGAAGACCGACGCCGCGGTGTACGATGCGATTCTGCGCGGGAAACTGGACTTTTCGGGGCCCGCGTGGGCGGGAGTGTCGGTCGAGGCGCGCAGTCTGATTCGCTGCATGCTCCAGAGCGACCCGAGGCGGCGCCCGACGGCGGTGAAGGTGCTGAGTCACCCGTGGGTGCTGCTGCACCTGTACGGTATCCGCGCTGTGAAGCAATCCGTTGTTGGTAGCGAAGCGGAGTCGAACAAGAATCACGTTGCGGTTTCCAATGGTGCAGCGGCTTCTCCCGCTGCTGTTGGCGCTGCGGCCCAGCGCGCTGCAGCGTGCTGACTAATCAGGAGAGGATGACGCGAAGTCGCGACGCGACCTCCAGAAATGTGTGTTTCTACGAGGCGCGAATAATCGATTAAACACCCTTGTTGAAGACTGTGGGGTTGAGGTCAATCGCTTTGACCTACATATTGTTTAGGACCTAATTACAAAATTCCTCCATGTCCTCAATGGAGCATTACTTATGAGCATAATTACTCTTTCCATTCCACCCTACCTCTTGAGATTTTATAGCAAAGGTTGTGATCATACTTTACATTATTACTTCGCTTCAAAACACAATCTCGAAAGACCCCTGATACATTTATCTTTATAACCAGCGAAACTTCTCATTTGTGCCGAATCTTCACCCGTCACACCCTCAAGAGCTTTCCACATTACGCTACATGTTGTCGTTCTCAACCAACGTGTCTTCGCGGCGCTACGCTAACCCCCCTCCAGCGGTTTAGTGCGCCGGTTGTGATGTACGGGCGCGCGCAACCGACGCGTCATTTCCGTCGTAGCATAATTGGATTTAGTCCACCAGCGTCTCCCACTCGCTAGTACTTCTTCCGCCACCCGCTTCCGCCACCCCCTTCCGCCACCCCCTTCTGCCACCCGCTTCCGCCACCCCCTTCCGCCACCTCCGCCTGCCAGCCAACATCACAACCCGCACTAGCAACACCGCTACTGCCGTTGCAACCGTTGCCGCCACACGTCGCAAACCCCTACGCAGACGATCCGTAAGATGCGCGTCGCAAATGCCACCGCAACAAGCTCGCGTTTGCTAGACTCGAATGCGGATCGCCGCGGCGAACTCGACGATCGCGCCGGAAGCGCCGCAGCTGAAGCCCCGATTGTGACGGTTGTTGAAGTAGGCGGAGACGGCGGAGGCGGCCGAGGCGGCGGATTAGATGCCGCTGCGGGTAATGCGCGCAGAGTTAGTGGAGACGGCGGAAGCGCGGAGGCGGAGGTCGGGGGGAACGCGGAAGGGCGGGATTGTGGAAGGGCGGAGCAGAACGACGGGGGAGGGGGAGCCGCGGCCTCCGCGGATCCCCCTCATCGTGTTCGGTTCATGCAACTGCAGAAGTTTCTGCGAAGCTGCGATGAGTCAAACTATAGCGCCCTCACTACATGTATTCCCCCCTTCCCTCGCCCCTCTTCCCGCTCACCTATTCTCCCCCCCCCCCCCCAATACCCGCTCCCCGATTCCCTGTCTCCCCTTTCCCGTTCCCCATTTCCCCCTCCCCTCTTTCCTCCTCCTTGCACCGCTTTTGTCCATGTCCATAGCAGCCACACACAATATCATTCCTCCCCCCCCCCCCCCTCCCCCACATCCCACTTCCCCCTTTCCTCCTCCTGCGTGTCGCATGGAATAACAGCCACTCACACCAACGTTCTCTCCCCTTCCCACCCCGTCCCCTTATACCCCACGTCCACCTCCCACCTCTCCGACTCCCCCTTCCCCGCATCCCCATCCCCCACCTCCACCTTCCACTCCCCCCTGCAGCGCCGCAGCTGTTTCACGTTGGCAAGCTCGTGAAATCGCAGCCAGTTCGCCCCCTTTCTCCCACTCTTTCCCCGCTCCCCCCCTTCCCCCTCCCCCCTTCCCCCCTCCCCACTTTCCCCCCTCCCACTCTCCCCCCTTCCCCCCTCCCCCTGCAGCGCTTCTGTCCATGTCAGCGTGGGATCGCAACCTGTTCGTCCCCTTTCTCCCACTCTTTCCCCCTCCCCGTTCCCCCCTTCCCCCTTCCCCTCTTCCCCCCTTTTTCCGCCCTCCCCCTGCAGCGCTGCTGGCCATGTCAGCGTGGGACCGCAGCCAGTTCGCCGCCCACTCTGAGAAGAGAGCACTGCAGCTGGGGGCGGAGGAAGGTGAGGGGGAGGGGTTCGAAGGGAGAGTGAGAGGTTGGTGGGTGCGGGAGGGGTGTGGTTTTGAAGGTGGTGGCAGAGAGTGGGTTGGCCAGTTTGCCGCCCACATGGACAAGAGAGCGCTGCAGCTGGGGGCGGGCGGAGGAAGGTGAGGGAGAGAGTGAGAGGATGGGTGGGATGGGGCCTTGAGGGGAGAAGGGGGCGGCCGAGGGAGGGAGAGAGAGTGAGGGGATGGGCGTGATGAGGCCTGGAGAGGAGAAAGAAGGGGGGGATTATGGACATGGGCAGAGAGTGGGCTGGGCAGTTTGCCGCCCGCACGGAGAATAGAGCGGTGCAGCTGGGCGTGAGGTGAGGGAAAGAGGACGCGAGAAAGAAGGAGGAGAGAATGGGAGTTTTAATGGGAAAGGAACGGAGACTTTTGAGGCGAGACATTGCTGCAGTTGGGGGCGGAGGATGGTGAGTGAGATGGGGAGGGGGGGGGATGTTGTGCATGGGGGAGAGAATGGGGGTATTGTGTGTGGGGTGTGAGGAGTGGGGGAGAGTGGTGGTGTGTGGGGGAAATAGTGAGCTGGGCAGGTCACCACCTGGATGGAGAAGGAAAGAAGAGAGCATTGAAGATGGGGGCAGAGGAAGTTTGACCCTTGTTGACCCGAGCTAAATGTTGTTGCTCCCATGTTGACCCAATCCGTGCTGTCAAGCATTACATTTTTTGTCCTTTTGCACCTCCCCTCCCTCACCTCCCCTCCTGCCCATTCGACCGCCCCTTCACCTGGCTGCCAACAGCCCTTGAAATGAAGCGGGTGAAGCGGCTCAACGTGCTCGGGATGAGACGGCAAGCAGGCAACCAGCAGAGCACGCAAGCTCAACCCTTAGAGCCAAACCCACTCCCGCCACACGCACACCCACAACCACCACAGTCACACCCTCTTGTGTCACATTCTCAGACACAGGTGGAGTTGCATCAGGGATTGCAGGCTCAGCCACAGTAAGAGGAGTACGATCAATACAGTTACGCGTACAGTCACACTTCAAGCAACCTTGCCCGGCATTCACTACGCCACTTCCCAGCGCTGGAGTACCGGTTGTTGGTCCTCTCCATATAGCAGCCTCCTCGTTACAGTCACTTCAGTTAGTGCAGCTGCACCAGATAGAGAAGGCAAATCATTGCAGCATCCCCTTTAGGCAAAGCCCTAGTCCTTCACCTCCCCATCAGTACAGTAGTTTAATTAAGTTAGCTTTAGTTAGTTTTGTTTAGTTGGTTATTTTATGTATCCAAATAGCAGGCAAACTTTCATTATGACATTGTGCATAGTTTTTTCAGCTCTGAATGCAGCTGCCTTTATTTGTTTCGTTTCGGTTCAGATAATGTGTTTGATTACATTTGTGCTAAAAGTAAGCACAGAACACATACAATTCGGCCTGAAGCAGGAGTCACTGGGCTCCGCTTTAGCGAATATATTTTCTGCTTTGGGTTGGACTGAGAGAGCGCCAAACTGGCCCGAAGCGAAATGTCGACGAAGTTTTGACGAGGCTTCGCCTTACCTCTTTCGATTTCATCGTGGCTCGGCGATGGGTTGACGAGATTGGCACGTGGTTTACTCTGAATGGATAACTCTCTCGCTGACCACCGTCTGTTTGGCGCGCTTGTACCCAAACTGGCTGCATTTGACTCGAGTCGACGAGCAAAACGACAACTGCTGAGCTGTACAGCTCAGCTCCGCGCGTCGGAAACTCCAATCAGGTGCACCCTTGGACGGAAGCGCACTGCAACGCAAACACCCTCTGTCCAATTGGCGGCGGAAATGGCATCACCTCCCGAGGCGTCATTTGCCGCGCATGGCGGCACTCTTGCTCTCGTGACTCCTCCCTGACTTTGTGACTTGTGGGTCGTGCTTGATTCCACCACCAGACGCACGCAAAGCATATTCCCATCAACCCAGAGCACAACGCGAAGCCTCATATGATATAGACCTCTAATTAGTGTCAAATCACTCTCAGTTCGCACTTCTACAGCTGAGCCTCCTTCCCTAGTTTTTCCGCCTTCTGAGACTACTAGCTCTTATCTCATCCTCCTATCATCAGAACTGGATCGAATTCCGCTATCCCTTTCTAGTACCGATTGCGTCACGGGTCGTTCAGAAAATGGCCACCGATACTCTCTCGTTTCTGCCTGCTATCGACTTACCAAAGTTGGCAGCAGCCTCAGGCGCGGCATCAAACTGCGGATCTTCTAATTCCCGTATGGAATCTCCCCGCCGATTGATCGTCCGCGAAGGATGCGACAACAGCGATGTTTTGGCGTACGTTAAAGCGCTAACTGGATCCATCGGCAGCAGTCGCCTATTTGGACTTAACATGGCCTTCGACGGATTAAAGCCTACTCGCCCCTCCATCGGCGACTGTTACCGCTTCGGGAGGGAGCTTGGGCGAGGCCACTTCGGCGTGGTGCGAACATGCTCGGACAAGACGACGGGAGAGCATCTAGCATGCAAGACGATTCTCAAGGACAAGATACAGGTACGCGATTCGTCTTCGCCCTTTTAGGCTTAATCAGGTGGCAATAAAGTGGTTAAATCTCCTTATAGAATCACTAATTATGTATTTATATTTTCAATTACGCAGAAAGAAGAAGACCTGAGAGAGTTCGCGGCGGAGATGACGACGATGATTCATCTGCACGGGACGCCCGGGCTGGTTCAGCTGAGGGAGATATTCGACGACGAGCTGGCGGTGCATCTGGTTATGGAGTTCTGCCAAGGCGGCGACTACTTCGACCACATCGCGAGGAAGAAGCGACTCTCTGAAGGCGAAGCGGCGCATATCTTTAGGTACAGAAGGATCCGTTTTAGGTTTCAAAGCGCTTAGAAGTATCGTCACGGTGATGCATCTCGTTTCAACCTTATAAATTAGTTCTGAGAGTTTTAGTCTGCTGGACTAATGGATTTGCAATCATTTGGTTTTTGTTGGCAGGCAAGTGGTGGTTTCCGTCAACGCGATGCACGCTAAAGACTTCGCCCATCGCGATCTCAAGCCGGAAAACATCCTCATCGCGAAGAGCGCATCGCACTCAAACGAGGATGTTGAAGTGAAGATCGCGGACTTCGGGCTGGCGATCGCCGTGAATGAGGGAAAGGGGATCAAAGGAGTCGTCGGTAGTCCGTTCTATATGGCGCCTGAAGTTATCAAGGGAAAACCCTACGGCGTGGAAGTCGACGTGTGGAGCCTCGGAGTTATCCTCTACACCAGCCTCGCAGGTACTGCTGCAGATGAATTCCTTTGTTTTAATGTTGGAAACAATTAACGAGTACTATTAGATTATCCCTTTCTTTCTGATTACCAAAAATCACATCTAACACTCTCGTCCCTCGCTTTTCTTTCAGGCGTCCTTCCGTTTTGGGGAAAGGGTCACCAAGCCGTTTTCACCGCCATCTGCCGCGCCCAGCCGGACTTCGATCGCAGTCCGTGGCCCTTGATCTCCACCGAAGCGAAGCATCTCATCCGTCGGATGCTGACACTCGACCCGACGAAGCGGATACGCGCGTGCGACATCCTCGAGCATCCCTGGATGAAGTCGGCCCACGCGAACGGGGCTCCGCGACGTCGCAGCAGCCTTCTGCGAAAAGTGTTTGGCGACATCTCAGTTCAGTGGCCCGCGAACTTGATTCCCGGCATTTCTGGACTCGGAGGGGCCGCCCCTGCTCCGCCTGCGTCAACACCTGCGGATCCGGTTGCGACGAGCGATGACAGCAAGGCGGAGACGTGTTCCGCCAAGGCAACCGCCGTTACATCTGGCGCGTCGATTCCGCAGGAGCCGGAGACTAAGGAGGCCGGGACGGACGCCGTGTCTCTGTGCGGTAGCGATGAGGGAAGGAAGGCGGTCGCTCCAATAATGGTTCCAGCTCCATTGGTGAACGGGGGAAGTGGAACAGCGGCCCTGCGCGCGCTGAAGCCAGTTCCGAACCAATCGAGGGAGAATGCGGGGGTCACGACGGCGGGTGTTCAGCGTTTCGCCGCGCAGAAGGCTGCATGTATTGGCGCGGAGAATCATCCGCCAGCCGGGCAGCAGGTTCTTCCGGTTGAGTCACATTCTACACCTCGAGTCCGCCCAGCGGGTGAAATATTTGCTGGAAATAATGCTGGTTGCGTTTTTAGCAACAATTCAAGCGATGGATGTACCGATTCAATGGCCTACAGTGCCGAGGTTGGCGACTTCAGCAGCGACGACAGTAACCCGAGTCAGCCGTCGCCCAGGACTCCCCCTTCGCGAAGATCTGGAGCAAGGAAAGAGCGGGAAATTGTTGGCAGCAGCCACAACGGTCAGAAGAACCGTCAGATCCAGAACAACCATCAGCTTGCTTACTCCATCGCACACCCGTTCCCCGGCCTTTACGCGTGTCCCAACTCGCCCAGTTTCACTCCGTCGCCGTCCGCTATCGCCGGCGCGAATGGCGGTCATCAGCTGGGACCGTTCGCCTCCGGCGTGGGGTTCTGTTGGCCCGGAATCTTCAGTCCGCCGGATAACGCCCGCGGTAGCATGTGTTTGCCAGATCAGCAGCAGCAGGCATCGCCGATGTCGCCGCGTCTTCCGGCGCAAGTGGGATTCCCCGAGCTGCAGCCTCTGCCGCCGACGCTCCACTTCGCCTTAGGCTCGGAATCCGCGTCGACGACGCTACCGCTACCGACGTCAGTGCCGGATTCGTCGCACGGTTTCGTGACTCCTGGGTCGTCGCAGACAGACGCGTGGGTTTCTGATGCGGCGCATCTTGTGACGGCTCCTTCGATTTCGGACGGCATCCCTATTTCACCGTCGCAGCTTTCCTCGGCTGCCACCCTTCCATCCGTGCCGGAGTCCTTCGCGCTGGAGATCCACCACATTGTCGCAGCGTGGGAGGAGCAGGAGGCTGGTGGCGCTGCGTCGCACGGCGACGATAGCGACGCCGGCGACGGTGATGGCGACGGCGACGGCGACGGCGACGGCGAAGGTGGAGCTGCAGCAGATCCGTTGACGGAGGTGGCAGCAGATGCCGTGTCGAAGATGGCGGAAGACGCGGTATCGGAGATGGGGACGGGGACGCTCGAAGTCCTGTTGGCCGCCGCCTTGGCGTTTGACTGTCCGTCCAGGAGCGGACTGTCTACTTCCGCGTCGCCTGCGTCGTCCGCGTCGCCCGCGTCGTCGCGCTCGTCGTCGTCGTCGTCAGATGTCAGCGCCGCGTTCAGCCTGGGCAGCAGCAAGCTGTCGTGGACCGGCTTCAACCCCCCCGCGCTCCCCATGCTGCCGTCCCCCGCTCCGCTGCCTGCTGCCCCCGCGTGGCCGCCAAACACGGAGGTGGCGCCGCTGCGCCATGAGGTGTCCCTGGATCCGCACGGGACGCCGGTTTTGGAACAGGCGCGTGTGGATAGTCCGAGTCCATCTTCTGGTGGTTCGCTCGTTGCTGCTCCCTGCTCGCTCGCTCCTGGTGCTAGCCCGCAGGGTCGTAGCCCAGGGTCCGTTCTGGAAGGGGTTGGAGCATCACCGGAGAGCAGTTCACGAGTAGGAGCAGGTTCTGCTGCTGCTGCTGCTGGTGTTGCTGGTGTACTTTGTCCTCCGCTTCCTTCACAGTGTCAGCCTAATCGTGGTGCTGCTGGCGGTGGTGCAGTGGCTAGGGGCGGAGAGGGACGGAAGGTGCAGTCGGTTGGGTGCAGCAGTGGTGCAGCTCTGTTCTCAGGGCTGCTAGGGCTTGGAGGGAGCTCAGGAGCTGGTGCAGTTGCTCTAGCCATCAGCAGGAAGCAGATGAGGTGAATGGAGGCGCATGATTCAGGGAAGGATACAGGCGCAGTGAAGTACAATACCGTTGGACACCGTTTTTGGAAGTTTTTAGCTATGTTGTGTCAGGTTATTTATCATTAGCATTGGGGAAGGGTTGCAGACTAGCAGTCAACATATGGTTGGCAAATCTAGGGGATATATGTGGTCAATTTGTGTTGACTACTTGTAGTTCTTGGTTTAAAGAAATAAATTATGTGTCTATGGAGAAGCAACAGGTATGTCTTGTAAAGCAACAGGTGGTGGAGGGTATGTCTTGTATGAATGTGGACTTTATTTGTTGTTGATTGTTTGATTGCTGCATACTAAATAATCCAAGTAACGGGTTTCATATCTGTAAATCCAGAGGATAACACCTTAATCGAGACTAACGCATAACCTCAACGCATACTAGATGAGGGGCTGCCTGTCCACCAATCCAAAGCTCGCCACTTGGCGGCTGCGGATCCACTGGTCATCCTCGAGAAACTCGCGGGCATGCGGGGAGCTTGTTGTCCGCGCAAGGCCCATCACAGCAAGAGAAGCGGAAGGGTGCGGAGATTCTGGTTCGCCCCTTCCCTGTCTCTTGCGCTTCCTCAGTGTGGCCGCGCGAATGTTCTCCCCTGGCATCGTCTACTCCCGCTCCTCACCTCACGCCCCTACCGCTCTTCCTGCTCCCCCCGACCCGTCTGCTCGTTCCGCTGTTTTCGTCCCCGCACCTTGAGCCCGTGCGTGAGCCCTGTTCTGTTCCGTGACTCATGCTTACGACTGGTAAAATCCGACACTCGCTTGGGAGTTTCAAATCGGTGTGTAGTTTGAGAAGCAGATTCCTTCGCCCTCACGCAGTGTCACTTTTTTGTAATTATGTTATCTTATGGAAGCAGGCGATTGTCAACGTTGATTCGCATTTCTGTGTGATAGTTTTCGCTTTTCACGTTCTTGTTGTATTGAATAAGGAGCTAGGGTTATCTTTATAACGCATTCTTCTTCGCTCATGGTGTCAGGATTAGGGTTTGCCTATGAGTCTTGTTGGGACGCAAGGAGGCTCTCTGTATGCCGTTGTTCTTCTCGGTTTTGAACCGTTTTGAAAGTTTCTGTACGACTCGAATTTCGAAACGATTCTGGACGATACTGTGCGGTTCTCGCTCCGGAGCCACGCGAAGCGGCTCCGGTATGAGAATACTCGCGCTATGATTCATGGCAAGATTAGCGAGCCACGCTTCAGACAAAGCGGAAGGCTGTTCGGTAGGAAATGGAGAATCGTCATGCGGTGCTGATGAGGACGGTAACGTTAGAGAAGAGCTTCTCAAGCCGGCGGAGATCCCAAGGCAGACGGAAAATTTGACGGAAAGGGAGTCTACCAAGCAGGAAGAGATATCCGCGTTAGAAGGAGAAAGCTGTCGTCTTGACGAGTCGGGTGACGCGAAGAAGCAGGATCCTGGGAGGGGAGACGACAGGCCGAAAGAATCTACGAAGAAGAAGCGGGTATGTTAGATTGTGCATTCAAGGGTGCGTCGAGGATGCGCCGTTGGCATGAATATGCTTGTCTGGCAAGTGTAGCCTTCTGTGCTGGTACATTTCTCCCTACGACGTTTGTTTCACTAGTAAGTTTGCCTTCTTTTCATGACAATAGCTCTTGCTATTCTGTCTCTCTTTTTCTTCCCGTCCAACTCCCCTCTCTCCACCACTCCTCACTCGCCTCCCCTCCCGCCATCCATCCCTGCCCCCCTATCGCTTTCCTTACCTCTTTCCCTTCCCTCCTCCTTCCACCCCTCCCCTCTGTCCTTTTACCCCTTCTCAACCCCCCCACTTTTTATCCCCCCTCCTCCCCCTTTCCCCCTAACCTCCTCCTGCTCATCCCTCGTCCCCGTACCCCCGTAACCATGCATGTCTCTGTCATATCGTGTCTGCTCGTGTCTCCTCGTGTCTGCTCGTATCTCCTCGTGTCTGCGCGTATCTGCTCTTGTCTGCTGCCCGTGCGACCTCGTGCTTGTGCCGTCTCGTGCCTGCTCGTACCATCTCGTGTCATCTCTTGTCTGCTCGTGTCATCTCGTTCCTGCTTGTGTCATCTCAGCACTCCAACAAGACAGCGAAGCTTAAGCAGAGCAAGTTAGATGCCCGCAGGGAGCAGTTCCTCGCACAGGGTGAGTTGAAACGAGAGGAGTTGAGTTGAAACGAGAGGAGTTGAGTTGAAACGAGAGGAGTTGAGTTGAAACGAGAGGAGTTGAGTTGAAACGAGAGGAGTTGAGTTGAAACGTGAGCGAGGTGTGTTGATAGATGAGAGAAGGGTGAGTTGAAACGAGAGCGAGGTGAGCTAAAACGAGAGCGGTGAGTTGAAACGAGAGCAAGGTGCGTTGAAACGAGAGCGAGGTGAGTTGATGAGAGCTGGGTGAGTTAAGGGTCCAGAGAACCTAGAGCAAGGTAAGTAACACACCATCAACGAAGGTGATATACCAATTGAAGTCCTTGCTAAGAGTACCCACTAACAGGCTCCCTATCATTCTCTTTTGCGGATTCGACAAGCAGCTTTAACCGCCATATTCTTGTTTTTTGGAATTCCTAACCGTCTTATACGTTTCCCCCCTTCAACCGTCTCTTATCCTTGTTTTCTTCCCATGCAGTTGCTGCTGCTAAGACCGCAAGTCCATCCCAAGGCTCAACCGAAAAGAGTCCCAGTGTTAAGAAAGGTACCAAAGTCGCAGGTGACGAATCTGATGTGACAACAGCGGGGTCTCTTTTAGGGCATCGAGATCCGCACGCAATCCCTAACGGCAGTGCTGAGAGTGACAGTAGCGAGCGTGAGAGGAACGAAAGTGTTGCTGCCGCTGGGGCTGGGGCTCCCAGTTTAAAACCCTGCGGGGGTGTAGCTGGGCCGTTAGAAGAAGCAGGGAAAGCAAAGGAGACAGGGGATGATCAGTCGATTGGTGGCAGCATACCCCGTACAGGATGTAATGGGCTTTTGGAACAGAGGAGAGGCAGAGATGAGCAGTGTCGCGAAGAGGAGGAGCGGGAGCGAGACAGAGAGAACGGAGGAGCGGTGGTGGAAGGAGAAACGGCGGAGGAAGCCGAAGAGAAGCAATGGTGGGAGGATTCGGATGAAGACGAGGGTGATCCAGGGGAGGGTGGTGCAGGGGAGGGTGAAGTGGGGACGGGCGGTTTGAGGGATGGAGATGGTGTGGTGACGGGTGGGGAGAAAGATAGGGCGGGGAGCGGCGGTAGCAGCACAGGGAAGGCCGTCTGTGAAGATTCACTGAAGAGTCGTTGCGAGGAGGGCGAGCAGTTGGAGAAAGCACTGCACGTTCAGGAGGCTGGGCAGTTGAAGGAAGCTGCGAGATCTGAGGAGGGGGAGGAGGGGGGTGTGGTTGTTGAAATTTCAGTAGAAGCGAAAGTGGAAGCAACGTGTGAGATTGCAGCAGCAGCAGCAGCAGCGGAGAGGGAGAGGGCAGTAGAGAAGGGGGAGAGTGCAGCAGTGGAGGGTTTAGGTGGGTTAGGTTCTGAAGCCAAAACAATCATTCCAGGCACAGCAGCAGTGGAGGTGGCAGCAACAGTGGTATCAGTGAGTGATGGGGCTGAGGAAGGGAGTAAGGGGTCGGTCAGTGGCATTGGTTTCAAAGCAGCAGCTTCGCTAGTGCTGGCAGGTACTGGGACCGCTGACGGTGCTTTGGCTGATGGTGGTGCTTCCGCTGCTGGTGGTGCTTCCGCTGCTGGTGGTGCTTCCACTGATGGTGGTGCTGCGTGTGCTGATACTGGGGTGAAAGGCGGGAAGAAGAAGGGGAAGAAGGGGAAGGAGGGGAAAGGGAGGAGGCAAACAGGGGAGACGGAGGAGAGGAGTATGGGAACGAAACAGAGAAGTAAGGAGACTGCAAGAGGGCGATTGGACGGGGACGGTAAGTGTGAAAGTTCTGAGAAGTCATGTAGCAGCAGTGGGAGGAAAAGTACAGATGTCGCTGCTGCTGAGTGTGGTAGCATTGCTGATTGTAGTAGCAATGACAGGAGGGAGGGCGGCATTAGCAGCGGGGGTAGTGGCAGATGTGGGGGTGCTAGCATGTTTGAGGCGTCTCAAAGCAGTTGCGAGTGTGGTGATCGTGGTGATGGCAGCGCTGGAAGGGGGACAGGAGGGAGGAAGGAAGGGGTGGAGCGGCAGGGGAGAGGGAAAGGGGAGAGGGAACGGAGTGAGAAGAACGAGAAGAATGGGAAGATTGCGAGGAGAAAGAAGAATGGATTGGTGAATGGAGCACGAGGGATCGGTGGCTGTGATATCATCTCTGGGCGAGTTGTGGAGCTGTATTTGAAGGGGAAGAACAAGAAGAGCAAGAGAGGGGAGGGGGAGGAAGGGGAGGAGGAGGAGGAGGGGGGGGGAGGGGAAGGAGACGAAGGAGAGTGAAGAATGTGCGAAAAATGGGGAGGAGGGTGAGGACGGCGGCCAACAGAGAGTGCAGCAGGAGAGAACAGGTGGGGGTGCGAAGCGCCGTATGAATGGGAGCCATGCACGTGGGGAGAAGAACAAGGACGGCCAGGAGAGTATTGAGGAAGGCAATAAAGAGGATGAGAATGATCAGAAGCAGGGGCAGCAGGGGCAGGGGCAAGGGCAGGGGAAGAGAATGGGCCAGGGCGAGGGCGAGGGGGAGCGGGCGGGGGAGGGGGAGGGGGAGGCCGGTGAGGACGAGGGGAGTGGTGATGAGGAGGATGACTGGGAAGCAGCAGCAGATGCTATCTGCTCAGAGGTACAAGAAATCCTTGAAGAGAGTGAAGCTTCTGAAACTGGGTTGATTGTGCAGGGCGCTGGGGGTTATGCTCGGGGTGTCAATACCAGCAGTGCTGACAGCACAGCCACCAGCACAGGCAGCCTAAGCAGCAGTAGTTTCAGTGGCGGCAGTGGAAGCAGCGGGAACAGTGGGAGTGGGAGTGGGAGCGGAAGCGGCAGCTACAGCAGGGGGAAGGGGTGGGGGAGTTCCGGGGGTCAAGGCGGGGTGCATTGGGAGGGTGGGTTGCGGCCAGGGGTGAGGATGAACGGACCTGTGAGACATGTGAGCCATGGGGCACATATGAGTCACATAAATCATGTGGGGCATGTGAGTTACATAGGCCATATAGGGCATGTGTCTCATGTGTCTCAGGGTGGGTGGGGCGCCCATACGGACTCATCAGCACCTTCCTATTCTGAACGATACAGCTCCCCGGCGCCGGCATCGCTCTTCCATCCCCACAACACCTCCCCCCAGTTCTGCTCCTTCTCCTCCTTCACCTCCTCTTCCTCCCCGTCCTACTCCTCGCTCTCCTCTTCCTCCTCCTCCTCCTCCTCCTCCTCCTCCTCCTCCTCCTCCTCCTCCTCCTCCTCCTCCTCCTCCTCCTCCTCCTCCTCCTCCTCTTCCCGTGTGTCTGATTCTCAAGCTGCTCGCCTCTCCTCCTCCTCCTTTCCTTCCTCCTCTGTCCCATCCTCCTCCTTCCCATCCTTCTCCTCTGCCACTCTCAGACCAAACCACACTCTCACCTCCTCCAACACCTCCTCCTCTCCCTCCTCACCCTCCTTATCACTCTCAATTGGTGGCACTCAGAGCATAGACTTCTGCAACGGGACAAAAATCACTGGTGGGGGGTTGAGACCAGAGTATACATACAATGCGGCAGGCATGGGGGGAAGGGGGCAGTTGCGCTGCCCTGCTGCTGCCTCTGCCGCCGCTGCTGCTGCCACTAGTGGCGATCGTGGCTGGCGCACGGACGAGTGTGGTTTTGCTGATCTGAGGCGCCTCAAAAGCTCCTCTGTATCTACCACCGCCGCCGGTACCACCACTGCCGCTGCTGCTGCTGTGTCATCTGCTTCTTCAGCGTCTGCTGCTGCTGCTGCTGCTGCTGCTGCTGGTAGTGGTGGTGCTACCGGTGCTGCTGCTAGTGAGCGAGCGTGGCGACCAGACGATTCCTCTCGGCCGCCTTCCCTGCCTCCCCCGGTTGCTCTACTCTCCTCCTCTTCCTCCTCCTCTTCATCCTCCCCGTCCTCCTCGTCTCCCTCCTCTTCCTCCTTCTCTTTCTCATCCCTCAACTATCAAAATCATTACCAGCAGCAGCAGCAGGAGTTTGCACGTGCGCCCAGTTTCGCTCATATGGGCAGCAACAGTAACAGCAGCAGCAGCAACAGCATGTGGAACCCACACCACCGCTCCTCCTCCTCCTTCTCCTCGTCCTCCCCTCCGTCAGTCTGGACCTTGGCCAGTTTCATCCGGTCCCCCCATAGCACTTTCTCCTCCTCCTCGTCCTACCTACCATCCCACAACAACCCATCATCACCACCACCAGGAGCATCACACTCATCAGACCCAGCAGCAGCGGCAGCGGCAGCAACGCAGCTGTGTCCGATCTGTGCAGAGGAGCTCGATAACACCGACTCTTCCTTCCTCCCCTGCTCGTGTGGGTTCCGCCTTTGTCTCTTCTGCCACCACCGCATCGCATCAGACGACGGACGCTGCCCGGGCTGCCGCCAGGCCTACAGCCCCGAGGTAGCTGCCAAGCTCTCCCGCCCGCCGAACCTCAAGCTGCGGTCGTAGCAGCATCAAGACACGTCTCCTTGCGCCTCTACACCTCTTTCTGATGCTTCCTTCCACCGTTGCCACTCCCTCCTCCCTTCCCACCACCTCCTCCCTGCTTCTCTGCTTCTACCGATGATGGTCGTTACCTGTTGCCAAGGCTACAGCTCCTGCCTGAGTGAGCCTCTGAGCTCTCCCGTTACCCCTATCTCTAAGCTCCATGTGCTGCTGTTGGCACAGGGAGCTTGGATCCCTACACTGGCGGTTAAACTCTTTCAACTCTAGCCTCGTGTCGCAGCAGTATCATGGGCGAGCACTGCAAGAGTGAATGTTTGGTACACCCACACCCTAGCCAATATGCGTATTTGGTATAATGGCTCAGTCGTGTCCATTAGGTTTTTTGTGCACTTCTGTTTCGGTTTCTGGATGAATATTTTGCCCCAGTTTTGTCCTGTGCCTGCCGTCTCATTTTGATAATATCACTTGTGTGCTCATGAGTGCGTTCCTTGCTGTTACAAATCAAATCCTCTCTTGCTACAGTGCTGCTGAACTATTTCTTACTGGAGCTCCAAACAATAGCGAGAGCACCGACAACAGATGCGGTTCCTAGAAACTTACACCTTTTGTTACGGGTGCAATGAATCGAGGTAGCGAGAATTGCACTAAGGTGTCAAACGAGTACAAAATGTGAGCGAAGGCATGAGCGAGCATTTATACGCGAAACATGCAAAACGGTAACGCGGTGCGTGCGAACTTGCTAGTGCTACGCTGGAGCGAGGCTCGGGCTAGTCCCGAAGCGTAGGCCGATACGGCCATGCCAGCAGTGCGAGGTTTGGCAAAACAGTGCGCGCGAAGTCGGCGAAGTTCCGTTAGCAGTAACGGGCGAACAGTCGGCTGTTGCTGTACGCGATGTAGTCGGCTCCGTAAGGAATGCCTGAGAAAATTCCTTACACTACCCCCCCCCCTTAAGAAGCCCCCTCCGCTACGCGAGTGCGTGTATATCCCGGAATCCCCGGCTTCTCAAGTACACTTGCAGGGCAGGGTGATTTTCGATGTTGCTCAGGGGCACCCAGCTATCTTCAGTTGGCGTGCGGTCTTTCCAGCGAACGAGGAATTCAATCCTCCTGATTCCCGTGGGGTGGCGGATCCGATGGCTCAAAAATTTCTCGGGCTCGATGATCGGCTCTGATGCAGGGCGAGTCATTGATTGTGGCCGGTGACGCGGCAGTTGACTCGTGGTCGGGATGTATGGGCGAAGTAGGCTGACGTGGAACGAAGGGCTGATGTACCAGTCAATTGGCAACAGTAGGTGCGCGGTGACGGGTGTGATCATGTGACTGATTTGGAATGGTCCACAGTAGCGCGGTCGTAATTTTGGTACGTCGGGCAGTCGCAGATTTTGCGTGTCGAGTAGCACGTAATCTCCAGATTGATACGTGACGGGGCGGCGGTGGCGATCAGCGTTGCGCTTAGCGATGACGTTGGCCTTTTTTATTGCTTCGGCGGCTCTGGCGCGGGCAGCTTGCAGGATTTCGGCGAATTGTTGTGCGCGTGGCGTGGGGTTGTCCGGACTCGGCGTCATGGGCACTGTGGGGTTCTGCCCATAGTTCAGGTAGAACGGGGACTGCTGCGTCGTGGTTGATGTGGCGTTGTTGTACGCGAACTCGATCAGCGGCAGCTGCTGCTCCCAGGTCGTGGGGTCGTCGCACGTGGCACGAATCAACTGCTCCATCGTCTGATTCGTCCGCTCCGTTTGGCCGTCGGTCTCGGGGTGGTACGACGAACTGAACTGTAGCCTGGTCCCGAACTGCTCCCAGAGGTTCTTCCAGAAGTTGCTGGTAAACTTCGTGTCCCTGTCGCTGATAATTGCTGCTGGTATCCCGTGCAGGCGAACAACGGCTGCGATGAACAGGCGAGCGGTCTCTTCGGCTGAGATCGACTTTTTGCACGCAGCGAAGTGTGCCATCTTCGTCAACCTATCCACGACGACCATCACCGCGTCGTTACCCCCAGGGTTCGAAGGTAACCCTGTGACGAAGTCCATGGTTACTTGCTGCCAGGCGCGTTCGGGCGGTGGGATCGGCTGCAATTGACCCGCCTTCCGCTTCCTTGAACTCTTCATCACCTGACACGTCGGGCACGAGCCCACGTGCTGCTGTACGTCGGTCAACAGCTCCGGCCAGTAATAGTACCGCTGCAGTTGCTGTCGTGTTTTTTCTACCCCGAAATGTCCCGAGGTAATCCCGTCGTGTGCCTCCTGCAGCAGCAGCTCCCTCAGTAGTGAGTACGCGGGTACCCAAATGCGGTTGGTGCCTGTTTTTACGTAATAAACTCCTTTTGCTTCTGCCAGTTGCTGTGAATTTCCGGTCGTGAAAAATGGGTCGGTGCGGTATCCGTGGGTGAATAGGCCAGTTAAAAGCGGGTTGGTCTGGGCGAGTAGGATGGCGTGGAGTTGGGCGGTGGGGCGGGTGAGAGCGTCGGCGATGTTGGATGCTCCTTTTTTGTACGTGACGGTGTAGTGAAAATTGGACTCGAGATAGTCCAACCAGCGAATCTGTCGTGGGTTGAGATTCGGTTGGGCGCGAAGGTACTGTAGCGAGCGGTGGTCTGTCCGTACTGTCACGTCGGCACCAGTCAGGTAACATCGCCAAACTTTGAACGCGTGCACGATCGCTAGCATCTCGCGGTCGTGTATCGGGTAGTTACGTTCGGGCGGGTGTAACTTGCGGGACTCGTACGCGATTGGCTGGAGGCCATTCCCGAAATCTTGCAACAGTACTGCTCCCACAGCGATGTCACTTGCGTCGGTGACGAGCTCGAACGGACGGTGGGGATCTGCAATGTGAAGGACGGGCGGGGAGCACAAAATATTTTTGAGGGCCGAGAAGGCAGCTTGCTCTTTCTCCCCCCACGTGTACTCAACCCCCTTCCTCAGCAGGTCAGTCAACGGGGCAGTCAGTTTCGCCATGTCGGGGACGAACCGGCGCACGTAGTTGACGAACCCCAGGAAACTCTGCAACTCGGTCAAGTTGGTCGGCGCGTGCCAAGCCTGAATCGTCGCAATTTTCTTCGGGTCTATTTCCACTCCTGCAGCTGAAATAACATGTCCCAAAAACTCCAGGCGGTCCTGTAAAAACTCACACTTAGATGCTTTGGTCAGTAGGCGGTTCTCACTCAGGATTTTAAAAACTGCTTCGATGTCTTGTAAGTGCTGTGCTCTGTCAGGGCTGTAAATCAGTATGTCGTCCAGATAAACGATGACGCACTTATCTAAAAGCGGGCGGAATGCTTCGTTCATGGTCATTTGGAAAGTGGCGGGGGCGTTGGTCAGTCCGAATGGCATGACGGTGTATTCGAAGGATCCGTAGCGTGTTCGGAATGCGGTTTTAGGGCAGTCGGGTGGGTTGACGCGGATTTGGTGGTATCCTCCCCGGAGGTCGATTTTCGAGAAAACCCGGGCTGTGCGCAGTTGGTCGATCAGTTCGTCGGCTCGTGGGATGGGGTAACGGGATTTGATGGTAACCCTGTTCAGTGCCCTGTAGTCGATGCACATGCGAAAACCCCCGTCCTTTTTCGGTGTGAACAGTATTGGTGCGGCGAAAGGCGACGAACTAGGGCGAATGAATTCCTTTTCTAGCAGGTAATCGAGCTGCTTCCTTAGTTCGTCTAATTCGGGTTGGGTCAGTCGGAACTGTCGCTGTACTGTTGGCTGTGCCCCCGGTTCCAGTTCTATCCTGTGATCGTGCGGTCGCTGAGGTGGCAGTCCCGTCGGCAGGTCATCCGGGAAAATGTCACTGTACTGTTGTAACAGTGCCGCCAGGTCACTCGGTACGTCGGTCAGCAGTTTCTGTAAATCGCCTCCCTTGTCTGCTGCCTCGACTGCTCGAATGTCAACCGCGTACACGTCGGCTCCGGCCGCAACAGCGCGTTTCATCGTGATCGCGTTGACACGCACCGACGAAGACTCAGGCGAGCCCCAGCGAGGTAAGGCGATGCTGTTACCGTTCACTCGCACGGTGCAGTCACCCGTCGTCCAGTCAATTCGCGGGTTGTGTCGTCGCAGCCAATCACGCCCGAGTAAAATGTCGGTTCCGTCGAGGGTCGTTGCGAGCATTTCCTGACTAAACGTGAAGTTACCCCCGCATCGAATCCGAACTCGGTCTACGCGTTCCCGTATTGCCAGCGGCGTGCCGTCTACCAGTCGTGCGTCGATCTCAGGTAAGCATCGGTCCAGTGGCAGTCGCAATTTTCGTGCTGTAGCAGTGTTAATGAGGCTGTGGCTGGCTCCCCCATCTACGAAGATTTTAACTAAGTCCGTCCCAATTTTCCCACTGAGCAGTATAGGGCTATCTACCGTGGTACCCTCCTTATTCGGCCGGGTGTGGTCGATTGCGTGAACCGGCACAATCACTCGGTGAGGGTCGGTTGGGTCGGGCGAGCGGCGTGACCTGTCAGTAGAGGGCCCGTCTGCTACTGACTTCCAGCGTTTCCCTGCTGCTTGGTCTGTGTCTGCGGCTCAGCTTCCCCCTTTCCCTTAGCGTTTTCCGGGCATTCGCTCTTGCGATGTCCCGGCCGATTGCACGCAAAGCAGCGCCCTTTGAACGGTGCGGCAGCGGCATTTGCGGCGACGGCGCGTATCGTGGCGCTCTCGTTCGTCCCACGAGGCCGATGTCCCCAGGTGTTGTTTCCGTAGGACCCCGGTCTCGGTCGGCGAAAGAAGTCGAGCTTCTCCGCCATAGCGAGAATTTCCTGAAACTCAGTGACGCCGCGAAGCTGGATTTCCTGAGCGATGTCCTGCTTCAGGCCGCCGATGTAGCGGTCGATGCGTTCGCTCTCATGCATGTAGCCCACCTGCTCGCATAGCGCCAGAAATCCGCTCGTGTAATCCTGGACGGAACCGAGTTGGCGCCAAGTGCGGAGCTTCTGTCGCGCCGAGATCGAGGCCGCGATTGGTTCAAATCGAGCGCGCAGACCTGCGCACCACGCGTCCCACGTGCGATACTGGGGCACCTCCACGAAAT